TAAGTCAGAGAGAGTAGGGACCAGGAAATGGAGGCATAACTGTAAGGTGTGGTGTGGCAGCACAGGTATCTTAGAGAGAGTCCTTGGGAAGGGCCCAAGGACGAACGCAGATCCTGACTTATGGGTGCAACCCAACTCTAATCATTTGATTTGGCCCAAGGACCCACAAAGGATGTAGACGCATCCCACATAGTAAGCTCACAAAACAGACTAGGCCTGTGCACTTGAAAAGCCCATGTTACCATATGGCCAATGAATGGGGCTGTTGAAATGACGTGCTCCCGTGGTCTCTAAAGATGGGATTCTCGTGGCTGTTGCTCTAAACACAAGAGTGCATGTCTAGGCGTCATCACCGTGTCACAAGGCTGAGACAATCTCCCCGCCTCGTTGTGTGTGTGTGTGTGTGTGTGGGGGCTCCTAAGCCTGGCAGCCCTCGGGTGGGGACATGTGGAGTACCACTGACTCGCCGTCCACTTCCCGCAGGTTTCTACTCCCTCTCAGTGAGACACCGGCAGGTAAAGCATTACCGGATCTTCCGCCTGCCCAACAATTGGTATTACATTTCCCCAAGGCTCACGTTCCAGTGCCTGGAGGACCTGGTGAATCACTATTCCGGTAAGAAACACTCCATCAGGACCCATCAATGAAGGCTCTCTTTCCTAAGTGCCCACGGCACGCTCAGTCTAGGATGCACGCGGGTCATCCATACATGCCAGGCGCTTTATTAATACTTCGCTCTCTGCCCATTCTGCTTGCTTCTTATGCTCTCTTCTTATTTGTTCAGACTATAAATTTCAGGTTAAAATGGAATGCCGCCTACATAACCAAAACACGCTCATCTCAACTTTGTCCTCCCTCTCTACTTGTAAATGAAACACATCAGAATGCCCGGAACATTCCCAACCGCAGACAGTTTGCACTTCCTTAAGCGGGCCGTACGTTTGCAGGCCTCTGGGGCTTTGTTTGGAAATGCCACTCATTTCCCCTTTTCTGTAAGCCAAAATCCTCCTCGGCCTTCATGCCAGCCAAGGGGAGACCCCTCCTTGAAGAAGCGTTAGGAGTTAGGATTGATCTCCTGCCATCTCTGCTCCCAGAGATGCCAGGGGTCTCCCTAGAACTCTGCTTGCTCTGCCTGGTGGCCTCATTGTCTGTGGTTTTCAAGAAAACTCTTAGAAACCAAGCACTGTACTTCATTCATTCGGATGTCCTTCCCGGACCCAGGAGAGAGGTCCAAATGTTCCACGCGGACCGGGACAAGCAGAGTTCCCAAGATGCTGAGAGCAGAGCGTGGTTTTGATGGAGGCAATGGGATAGTATAGAGTCAGAAGGAAAAAAATCAGAGTTAGATAGACTGAGAGGCCTGAATGCCAGCTCAGGAGTTGGAATATTACCCTATGGAAAAGGGAGGCATGGCAAAAAGTTGGCTCAATGTATAAAAGTTGGCTCTGGAACCACCGCGTTCATACCGCAGACATTTTGGGCAACCTTGGGCTCGTGATTCGGCCCTGTGCTCCCTTTCCCTCTCTGTGTTATAAAGGTGCTAATGGCTCCTAGCTCGGGCATGCTGTGAGACGTCATGGAGTTAGTGCCTGGGAAGTGCTGGGGAGAGTGCCTGGCACAGAAACGTGGCTCCTGCTGAAGGGCTGCCACCAGCCCTCAGCCGCGTGGCTCCTTCTCCTCCTGCCCCCGCGTATTGGAGAGAGGAGCAGAAGAAGATGCTTTCACTTTGTTAGCATCTTGCCCCTTCCAGGTTCAGGAGGTCTGACCTCACGCCCCTGGGGATCTTGCTAACGTTCTGTAGGGCGTTGGGTCTTGAAGGGCATGTCAAGGAGAAAGGAGGAGTCCAAAGGGCCTCAGTGACCACGCCCGGCCTGTGACAAGTGCAGGTCGTGCAGGAGGAATGGCCACGTGGGGGTGCAACCTCAGATCTGGGCTCTGTGAGACCTTGCATGAAACCCTCACCCCTCCTAGACTCCGTTCTCCATGCACGGAAGGTGGGCGCAAGCAGCCCCAGGCGGGTGGTTGCTACGATTATCGAACATGATCCTTGATGTAATGCGTGCGTCACAGCCTGGCATGTGGCGGATGCAAAATAAATGATAACAAGCATGACTTCTGTGATACCCGAAAACCCAGCAGCTTGGCTAAAACTGAAAGAGGAAGGGAGTCCTGGAAACAGTCAGCTTGTACTGATGATGAGTAGATTGGCTGTGGTATTTGGCTTTTAATAACAATCATATGAGAGTTTGTGGAGACCATAAGTTTTGCATAGACAAAAGCAAACACGAAAAGAATGCCGCCCAGGGAGGCCCGTGAGGCTTCCCGGCCAGGATCCCCCAAGGGCACTGCACCTACATGCCGGCCATGGCGTCAGTAAATGCATTGCAGTCACCAGTTCACTGCGAAAAGCAGAAAAGGGTCGGAAACCCTGAAGTGCTTCCTGCAAACCTCAGGACCCCAAAGTGAGAACCATGTGGCCGGTTTTACCTCCCTCCAGATTCTTCCTCAAGGCACAGAATCAGAGAAATCCTGCACTAAGGGGTCTGAACAGACATCTTTGTTTGACAGTTTTGCTTATATTCATTATCCTGGTGCCCTTGGGCAAATTCTCTAACATCTCAAAGCCTCAGTTTCTTTATCTATAAAGTGGGGATTAAAATGCCTCTTATGGGATTGTTGTTAGGAGCCCCCCACCCCCACCCCTCGAAAATAATGTCATGCATGTGAAACACCTGGCACCGGAAGTATTCCATGCATGGTGGCGGCTGAGAGAACAGAGAGGGCGGGACACAAGTGGAGTTCTAAAATACGGCCAGGAAAATAAAGGGATGGGGAAACGGGACCCATGAATGCAGAGTTGGAGTTGATGGGCATGAGCAGAGTGAGTGTTCTAGAGAGTTCTACAGACTGGGGAGAATTAGACAAGTGCATCTGATCCCCGGAGACAGTGCAGTCCTCCATTTCGGAGGCAATGAGTTGCTTTTGGAACAAGTGCCCGGTTGTGAGTCCATGAGACAGGTTTGGGTCATATTTCTGTGACCTTGAGCAGCTAACTTGACCCCAGAACCCTAAGTTTCCTTATTCCAAAAATGGGTAAAGCAGACCTGAGTGCTGGATGATGTGGACCTCATGGAGGTGAAGTGTGACAGACTAGCTCGACACATGATGATAAGTGTTCGTTCTTTTTCTCTTGGCCAAACTTTCCTTTTCATCCTAAGGACCTTTCTAAGGAAGGACTGTCACAAAGTCCTCTGCCGGAGCTGTTGGCTGACGCTGGGGTTTTTTTTTTAGTTTTTGTGTCTGACTTGGTCTCCCTCACCTCCTAACCTGAGAGGCCATTTCAATTTCCAACCCATGACAGGTAATTATTTCAGACTCACATCCAATTAAGCTCCCTCTAACCTCAGGGTCCAATCGCACAGTTCTCGGTGTGGGCCAGTGTGGGTGGACATTCAAGTTCATGGTGAAAGGCAGGCTGAACACGGTGAAACAAGGCGTTATTCACGGCCACCCTCTGATAGTCTGGGTTTGCTTCATCAGCTACAATTTCCTTTTGTTCTTTGGCAAGGACACCCCCAGAGCTCCATAAATCAGATGGGAGGCAGAGACTGCCGTTGGTATAATGTGCTTCCTAAAACCTAGTAATGGGTTCGCTCCAGCCAGGGTGGCCAGGTCTTACTGGGGGCCAGCAGCATCTGACATCCTCGGCCTCTCCATCAACCCCTGTGACACGGGGTCTTTAACCTGAATAAGCCCACACAGAATTTCCTCAACCTATCGGAATGTCTGAGCACAGCCAGAACCAACTTTTCTCACCATGACACGGGCTAGGAGGAGGCTCCTGAGAGATGGAAGCTAGGTCTTCATGCTCTCGGAAAGAAGGGGTCCCTGCAAGTTCAGATACTTGATAGCAGCTGAGAGGAGAG